TGCTCAAAGTTACTAATCACCAGAGGGATGAAAATAAAACAATGAGATATCACCTCATGCTGGTGAGAATGGCTCCCATCAACAAATCAACAAATGGGAAGTGCTAGTGAGAATTTGGAGAAAAGAGAACTCTAGTACACTGCTGGAGGGAATGCAGACTGGTGCAGCAACTACGGAAAACAGTATGAAGTTTCCTCAAAAATTAAATATGGAACTGCCCTTTGACCCAGTGATCCCACTTCTAGTAATATATCCTAAGGAACCCAAAACACCAATCAGGAAGAATTTATGCACCCCTATGTTCACAGCAGAGCAATTTACAATAGCTAAGATCTGGAAGCAACCCAAGTGCCGTTCAATGGATGAGTGGATAAAGAAGCTGTGGGACATTTATACCATGGAATACTATGCAGCTATGAAAAAGGATCTCTTACCCTTTGAGGCAGCATGGGTGGAACTGGAGAGGATTATGCTAAGTAAAATAAGACAGTCAGAGAAAGACAAGTATCACATGATCTTACTTATACGTGGAATCTAATGAACAAATAAAGTGATGAACAAAATAAATCCAGAGATACTGAAGCATGGAACAGACTGAAGCATTTCAGAAGGAAGGTAGGGGTGGGGAAGTGAGGGTGGGGGAACAATTAATCCAAGAACTCACATGCATACATGCATAACCCATGGACACAGACAATGGTGTGGAAAAGGCCTAGGGGAGGTCTGTGGTGGATGCTGGGTGAAGGCGATCAATGTGGGAAAAGGGGAAACATCTGTAATACTTTCGACATTAAAGGTAAATTTAAAAAATAAAATTAAATGAATAAATTTTAAAAGGATAGAGAAACATGGTTTAGGGAGGTAAAAACGGGCAAGGAGGGATAAATGGTGATGGAAGGAGACTTAACGGGGTGGTGAACACTCAATACCAGATACAGATGATGTATTATAGAACTGTACCTCTGAAACCTATTTAATTTTATTACCCAATGTCATCCCAATAAATTCAATGAAAAAAATAGATCTTTCATGACTTTGGATTGATCATTGATATATGGCGCAAAAAGCACAAGCAATAAACCAAAAGAGATTTCTGGGAATTTATCACAACATTAAACTTCTGTCTTTCAAAGTAGTCTAACCAATATCAAAAGACACTTACGGAAGAAAACACCTGCAAATGAACAAGGTATATAAGTTAACTCTTCCAATTAAATAATAAAAACAATTAAAATTATTAAATGGAAAACAATCTGCAGGCATTTCTCCAAAAAAGAAACACAAATGGTGGGAGAGGAAACAAGATGGTGGCATAGGAAACAGTTTCACCCGCCTCCTCCCATAACCACATCAAAATTACAACTAAAATACAGAACAACCATCACTCAGTACTCCTGAAATCTAGCTGAACAAGCAGCCCTACAACCAGGGAACTAAAGAAGTATTGAGACCGCCCCTCCCCACCTGCAAGCTCATCCAAGCCATTTCCAATGGCTTTTCTGTGCCAGTGGCCTCTTGAGCTTTATGCTTAGGACTTTCCTAAAATCTCTCAAACAAGCAGCAGCGGGCCCCATACAGCTTGATAAGCAGCCCCAGGCCTGGCACTAGTGGCGGCCTGCATTGGTTCACAGCTTGGCCTCTCCTGGACAATGCCAAGCCCAGCACAAGTAGCAGCCAACTATGTTTGCTGTGTAGCTCATGTTGGGTGGCCCTGGGCAAGGCACTGACAGAAGCTGACTTTGCATCTCCCGGAAGCCCCAAACGACAGTGAACCTGGTGGTCAGATTCCACCACGGTGAATTACAACCATACCACATGCACAAGTGACACTCAAGGGGCCCACTTGGTGAACACCAAAGCTCCACTGAAATAAATCCTGATCCACAGGGGTGTCTCCAGCACAGCAGCTCTTTGGCTATAGCTGCAGCTGGTCCTCACAGCTGAATGGCCTGAGGGTCAACTCCTCCCAGTGATGCCAACAGCAACCAAGGCTCAACTACAACAGGACAGTGCACACAGCCCACACAGGAGCACCTAGAAGGCCCAACTCAGGTGATTGGGGAAACTGAGCCACTGGACCCTACAGGACACCTACTACACAAAGCCACTCTACAAATTCCAGGAGACATAGCAGCTCTACCTAATACATAGAAACAAACACCTGGAAGCAGCCAAAATGTGGAGGCAAAGAAACATGTCACAAAGGAAAGAAC